CTGACTGAACTGATTTAGATCGTAAGTTCGAGCTGCCTGGACGCATAGCTCGAGCTGGATGCAGTCGAAACGCGCGGGGCGCTCGACCAGCTCGCACTCAATACCCTATTCAGTTCTGAAACGGGACGAACCAAAAGGTGGCGAATCCGAATCGACGCAAAACGCACGGTAAATGGACAGACCGAAACGCGGCGAACCGAACCACGACGAACTGCATCAAGACGAACCGAAACAATCTTGGCTCAGCGGCGAAAGCAACCCAAGTAACAAACACATGGTTTTTGGCGCACGGGCGAAATTATCCCATGCAAAAACAGATGGCGTCGGCTCAAGGGCGAAAGGAACCCACGTAAAAACACATGGTTTGCAATCGCGGGCAACAGGAACCCGAGTACAAACACATGGTTTGCGCTCACGGGCGAAAGGAATCCGAGTATAAACATTGGCTTTTACTCACAGGCGAAAGTGACCCATGCAAACACCATGGTTTGTGCTCACGTACAAAAGGATCTCACACAAAAACAGATGGTGTTGGCTCATATGCGACAATAGCCCGTGTAACAAAACACAGGGTTTGGGCTCACGGGCGAAGGGAATCACTATAAAAAACACATGGCTTGGCCCCACGAGCGAAGGAACCCATGCAATGTCACATGGTTTGGGCTCACAGGCGAAAGGAAGCAGTGTAAAAAACACATGGTTTGAGCTCACGGGCGAAAGGAACCCATGTAAAAGCACATGGCGTCAGCTCCTCCTCCTTCTCCTCCTCCTCCTCCTCCTGGATCCTGGAGCTCCACAGGGCGGGGCTCCCACTCGAGACTCGAGACTTCCCCGCAAGCCACTCAAGAATAAAGCCCTCGCTTAAGACATCCTCGGATGTTTGCTCACATGCCAACGGAACCCATGTAAAATGAACTGGTTTGGGCTCACGGGCCACAGGAACCACTGCAAGAACATGAACACGGCGCGAGCGCAATTGGGGGACACCTTCCTAGTGCTTGGGCGCATTGCCTGGCATTGCAGCGCGCTGCTTTGTATTACTTGGCGTTGCTTGGCATTGTTTGGCACTTGCTTGGCATTGGTTGGCATTGCGTGGCATTGCTTTGCGTAAATTGGCAGTGCTTTGCATTGTTTGGCGCGGGGAACCTGAGGAACAAGACCCGGACACCCCAGGAACGCAAGCAAGGAAAAAAGACAGGGGAACCTGGGGAAACCGAGGAAGAAGACCAGGGAGCCCGAGGAGCCCGAGCAATGAACAAGACCAGGGAACCCGAGGAACAAGACCGGGGAACATGAGGAACCCAAGCAAGGAACAAGGCCAGGGGATCCCGAGGAACAAGACCAGGGAACATCAGGAACCCAAGCAAGGAACAAGACCGGGGAACCTGGGCAACCCAAGCAAGGAACAAGACTGGGGCAACGGGTAACCGGGGGCGGGAACCCGAGGAACCTGGGGAACCCGGGGAACCCGAGGAACCTCCAGGAAACAAGTACCGGGGGCGGGGAACCCGAGGAACACGGGGAACCCGAGGAACCTCCGAGAAACGGGCAAAGAAACAACCAACCTTTAACGAAGTAAGAACCCCTTACGCACACGTCATTGGGGAGTAGTTAGGAGGCGCCAGCCTTTAACCAAGTAAGAACCCCTTAGGCAAGCCGAATTTGGGAAGGAACCTGGAGTGAACTCGAGGAGCCCGAAGACCCCGGGAACCTTAGGGACCCGGGGAGCACCCCGTGAGCCTCCGAGGAACGGGCAGCGTAGCAATGGGAAGCCGAGGGGGGCGGGGAACCCGAGAGAACCCGCGGAGCCTCCGAGGAACGGGCAACGTAACCATAGGAGGCGCCAACCTGTAACCAAGTAAGAACCCATGAGGCAAGCCTAATTGGGGAACTTGGCTTGAGGCTCACGGACGAAAGGAACATGTGAAACACACATGGCTTGCGCTCACAGGCGAGAGGAACCCAAGCAACAACAGATGGTGTTGGCTCACAGGCGACAGGGGCCCATGTAAAAAACACCCGGAGTTCGTGCACGGGTGAAAGGAGCCCATGTACAACTACATGAACCTACAAGCACAGGATTTGAGCTGACAGACGAAAGGAACCCATGTTAAAACGAATGGTTTCGGTCCACGGGCGAAAGCAACCCATGTAAAACCAAGCGCGTCGCCCGAGATATCCTCAGCATATCATGATGTCAGATATCCGCCTGGACGACCTGCGGCGCTACTTCAAAACAGGCGTTTCGCTCGAGGCGTCCTCGAAGATTCTGCACGACGGACGCGCCAGCCCCGTGCGAGCACTCACAGCATCATGTCTCATATTCTCTTGTAAGTTTACTGCAAATTTCAACGCGCCCCTCGCGACACAAAACGCTCCGCATCTTTTCTTCGAAGGATGGCGAGGGTCTGCAGACCCCGATATTTATCGAGGATCCGACATGGGGTGTGTGCTTTCTTCGAGCGTGCACGCACGAAACGCACCTGTGCAATTGGAAAAGTGACTCTACTATGTTTCTTATTGAGCGGAACTTCGCTGGTCTTCAAGTCGAGGCCGAAAGAGAACCCTGGGCCATAGCCCCTTTCGGGAACTTTGGAAGGTCCGAGCGCCCTGACCCCGAATCTGCCGAACTTTGGGCAATCTCGTAAGTAGGGCGGAAATCTCCGCCCTACTTGTCAAGTTTCGCTGATACCGATTTCCGCCCTACCTCGCCGTCGCTGTAGCCACGCATTTGGGGACATATCCGCTCTACTTTTCTGAGGCGGGGATATCCTCCGCTCCCTTTCTGAGGCGCTTGCGAAGGCATTCCAGACACAAAATCGCACGTCTGCGTATCAGCCAAAGCGCGGCTGATCCGGAGTTGGGGCAGACTTCTCGGATCAGCGCCAGACCCTCCCCCCTCCCTGGCACGCGGAGCGCGCCAGACACGGCGCCGGAGCTGCTGCCGGGGGAGTCCAGCCCGCTCGGCTGGAGGCGCCGCGGGCGGCGCTGGACCCCCCGGCTGCGCCCAGTGCGCCACCCCTGGCGCGCTCTGCGCGCCAGGGGAGGCAGGGCCCAGCACCGATCCGAGAAGCCCGCGCGGACGTCGAAAGCTCGCGGTGAGGGCATTGGACCTTGGGTCGGGCCCAACCCAGCTATACCTTGGGGGTCAGCGCGGTGACCCTGGACTTCTCATCCGAGGGTTCCTGGTCCAATTTGGGCCAGGGACCCTCGGACGAGAAGTCCAGGGTCTGGAAGCCGGTGGAGGTCAAATCGTGGAAGGGCCATGGATATCACCGCCGTGCTCGTCAGATGAGGAATCCTCCAGGATTCTGAGGCCTCCTGGGCACATTCCGTAACTTAGCTGCCCCGATACGCAGAACGCAACCCGGAAGGTGCTGACACGGAGCTCAACACGTAGACTGAATACGTAGGTCTGGCGCGATATGTTCGCCACAAAACGTGGGCCAACACGGTGAGCCAACACGCAACGTGCCAACACGGACGCTTTGAAGACGGTACGTGCTGCGTCCCAAGACGGGCGTATCCGGGTCGGCTGGGTACCCTCACCAGGAGAAGAAAAAACGCCATGAACATAAACTTCTGCGGCTCCGCGCAGATTTCTTGGATCCGCGCCTTGGCCCCCCTCCCTGGCGCGCGGAGCGCGCCAAGGGCGGCGCTGGAGGCGCCGTCAGCTAGGGCTCCCAACTTCGCGCTTCGCGCTGCGCGAAGCGCGAATAACTTCGCGCTCTCGCGCCGCCCTCCCAAAGGGAGAATAGGAGGACGAGGAGGAGGGGGAGAAGGAACGAGGACCGCGAAGCGCGAAGCGCGAATAACTTCGCGCCCTCGAGGGAGCCCTTGCGTCAGGGGGCTCCGAGAGCTCCGCGCGGAGCGCCACAAGTTTCTGTTTAGGGCGCTGTTCTTCTCTTCTCCGACCCGACCGCATGCTCTGGTGCCGGTGCGGGCCCCCGACCTCCCGACCACTTCCCCGGGACCGGCTTCTCCTCCCGAGCCCCGAGGCCCGGCGAGGGCCCCGGCGGAGGGGCCGAAGACGGCGCAGGACCTCCGCCTCGATGCTCCTCTCTTAGGGGGCAAACAAACCTGCCTCGCTTTTGACCACCCTCGCTTCCAAGAGATACCAAACGATGCCAACTTGCAGCCTGTACTGGTCAGGCCGCTTGACGAGGAGGCGCGTGGTATGGCTTGGTTTTGCCTGGAAGCGAAAGCGGGGTAGGTAATTCACGCTCTGATTTCTGGACGCCCGATGCCCCTTCGAAGCGGCTTCTGCTGCCCCGGACCTCGGCAGGCTCGGCCCCCGCCGGCTCCTCCGGCCCGGGCTCGGCCTCCGAGGGCGCCGGCGGCCCGGCGGCCCGGCGAGGCCCGCTCGGGGCGAGCTCGGGCACCCTGCGCGCACGCACAGACACACACGCCGAGGGGCAGCGCGGCAGGGGCTTGCCGGCTCCAGGGGGGGGGGGAGGAGCCTCGACCTGGACTCGGCGGTGCTACGTAGACGCGAGCGCGCTCCCCCACTCGCAAAGACAAGCTGCTCGCAAATGGCGTGGGTCCGCCGCCGGGGATCTGCGGCAAAGTTCGTCGACGCCCAGGTATGTTTTTTTTTCGGACGTTGGCGAGTAGGCACCTTGCGAGTAGTGGAACGCGCTCGGGTGGGATACGTCGCCGACGGACCGGCAGAGGGCTCCCGACGGCAACTCCGCACGGCCCGGGGCGGGGTGGCCCAGATCGGGCGACGCGTGCTGACGAGCGAGAGCAGGCACAGCCGAGCCCCGGAGCGAGGCAGCGACAGCGCAGCTCCACGTTGGACACGGTGGTGGCCGGGGAGCCCCCGCGACATGTCCACGAGCGCTGCTCCACCCCGGTCGGCGACGAGAATGGGCGATGGGGGGCCGAGGCCTCGAGCCCCCGCCCCCCGAGCCGATCCCCCCCGAGCGCTGCTCCTGCCACAGCCGTCTCCCGCCAGAGCTCCCCCCTCTGGACGCCACGGCCCGGGGCTCAGGGCGCCCCTACTGCTTGGTCCAGAGGGTGATGCAGACGCTCCGCTGCAGCCAGACGAACACGGGCACCTCCTTCGGCGACGGAAGGCTGAACTCGCTCACCAGGTGGCTCCTGCCGGTGTTGAGGTACACAGGCACACGGAGGTACTCGGCCCTCTTCTTGTACTCGGCAGACTCCCGATGCACCCACTTCAGCCGCGTCACGGGCATCGCCTAGAGGGAAGAAGAACGATGGCCATCACCAAGATGACGCGGGGTCTTGTCGACGCCGATCTTGGTCCTGGTCCATGCCGCCCGTCGCCGATTCGCGAGGATGGTCCACGCATTGACGACGACCAAGATGGACGATTACCAAGATCGGCACCAACGGTTCCGCGCCCAGTCTTGGACGTGGCCATCGTCTTATCTCCCATCCGTCGCCACGGTGAGCTCGTCCGTCATCGTCAGCTGCGAATCCCAGGCGGCGCCCTCCAAGTACAAGTCCTTGATTATGAACGACTCGTCGTCCTGTCCAGACAGCCCAGGATCGAATTGATAATTCGGATCGGCGATCGAAATTTATCCGATAGGTGGAAATCGGCAGCCAAGATCGGAGAAGTCGAATCGGCGGAAATTGGCAGGCTGGCAAGCAAGGCCTCCGTTGAAAAGCCGGCATCCAGATCAGAACCCCGACGCCGAACCGAATCGGATTCGGGCTCGATCGAACATCCCGCCGGAGGGGTCGAAACGCGCCCCGTCCTGCTGCTCGCAGCCCACGTCGACCGCGAGCAGCAGCTCCTCCAGCGACACCTTCAGCAGCTGGGCGACGGCCTGCCGCGAGGCCGTGAGGAATGCCTCGGGGAAGAAGAGGCCGCCCAGCCACAGCTGGAAGCGCTGCAGGCTCCCGCACGTGCGCGCCTCTCGGGAGGGCCAGCTGGGACACGGGAGGACAGGCTGCAGTCGAGTCGGCCCTGTCCCCCCACAGGGGGGATCTTGGGCGACAGAACTTCAAATAGTCAAAAAATACCCCAGAATGGACATGCTCAAGCAATCGTCCCCAGATTATATTTTTTAACAATGAAAAGCGATTTTCGAGTATTCCTCCTGTAGAGGGACGGGCCCGACCTAAGACTACAGTCAGGTGAATATTGCAGATTCTGCCGTCAAGGAGAGTGGGCTCCAGCACCCAGCTTTCACGAGGGGCAATGGTTCCAGCAACTCTGCGGCGTGAGCTACAGCACCCACTTCTGACGAGGGGAAGCCGCTCCAGCAGATTACGCCGTGGAGAGGGGATGGGCTCCAGCACCAAGCTCTCGCGGGGGACAGGGGTTCCAGCGGCCCCAGACGCGGGCTCTAGCACCCGGTTCTGCCGAGGGGAGGCCCCTCCAGCGGGTGGGCTGCCGTCTGAAAAAGACAGCCCGAGCGGCGACCCGCGCCCCCGCCACGAACCCGTTTGCACTCCGCCCGAGCTATCGCCAGCAAGATACTCACCTCCTCCTCCTCCTCCTCCCCCTCCTCCCCCTCCTCCTCCTCCTCCTCCTCCTCCTCCTCCTCCTCCTCCTCCTCCTCCTCCTTAACTGTAGGACTACGCGCCCCGCTCGGAGGCGCACGTCCGAACCGACCATGCATCTCACAGCACATCTCGCTGCCCAGGCGGTACCGTCGGGGCGTTGACCTAAGGAACCCTAAATAAGGAACGAGGCCCCCTTTTTTCATAAGTTAACCTTCGACTTCCGATCGAAAACATAAGGCAAACCTGAGGCAAGCTGCGAAACACTTGAGGAACGCGGAGCCCCTCCCCAACGAAAAGGGTTCCTTCTTCAGGGCCCGGGCGGCAGGTCCAGAAAGTGCCCGCCACCGAACATGTGCTGTAAGGTTTCTCGGCGCGCGCGTCGCCCCTGGGCGCAGGCGCGCACAGCGTGTGAGCATGTCTGGGTGCTGCCGACCAGATGGGACAGCGGCGGCTGGCCTTCGCGTGGGGGGTGGGGGGGGGGCCGCCATCGCGACCGGACGCAACTCGGAAAGTGGATGAATTTGGACCCCGGGGCCCGACTTTGAGTTGCCGTTGTCTCCCTCGCCCCTGCTCCGAGCCTCCTGGAGCTGCTTCAGGCGCAGGCTGAAGTCGAGCAGCCACTCAGTCACCGTGATGTCTGCCACGGTGTACTTCCTCCACCCCTTAGGAATGGCGTCTGTCTGCAGATCCTGGATGAGCATCTTTATGTCGTTTGTCGTCTTCACGGTGGCGTTGCAAACCCCCATTAGCTTCTCAAGGTCGGCCTTCACGGTCTTCAGGAGGCTGCCGGCGAAGCCCATCTCGCGGTCGAAGCACCGCCAGAGGGGATCTTGCAGCGAGGACTCTGTGCGTTCCATCATCGCGAAAGTCTCGGGCAGGGAGTCGATCATGTTCTTCACCTTGGTGCCGAGGGCCGCGAGCGGGTTCACGACGCTCATCCGCTTCTTTTGCCCCGGCGCGGCCTTCTCGCCCTTCGGCACCGCCGTCACAGAGGCCTGGAGCTGCAGCCAGCGTGACAGCGTGTGGTTCGCGCGGTTGATGCGCAACATCTGCTCGGCGTGCACCGGCAGCCCGACCCAGGTCGGCGAGCCCTTCCGGTCGAGGTTGTCGACCCACTCCGAGAACTGCTCCCTCTTGCGGGCGTCTGGAGACTTCAGCTGGTGTTCCTTGGACAGCACCGAGTTGAGAACGACGTCGCTGTTGAAGGATTCCTCGCAGAAGAGACTCTTGATGAAAGACTTGAGCACCATGTGGTCGAACTCGTTGTCGATTCGGCCCCCGTAAATGGCCTCGCCCAGGATGGACTGGATCGCATCCCAAGGTATCTTGTCCGGACTGATGTTAGAAACCTTGCCGCCCTGAGACACGCTATCAACCCAGGCGTCGATGATGTCCCGGCCACATGTCTGGTCCGCGTCGCTGAATTCGTACTTCTTGCTGAAGCCGACCGGGAAGTACCGCAGCCTCTCAAGCACTGTTGCGTGCAGAAACGCCAAGAGGAAGTGCAGCCTGCACCGCTCCACTGGCTCTCGGTCGGACTTTTCCGCGGGCAGGGTCTGCGCGAAGGAGCGCTGCAGCGATGCCTTCACTCCAGACGGCGGCTCGAAGACGAATACGCGCGACAGACGTATCAGGTTCGCAGGTATCTTGGGGTTGAACTCCATGGTCAAGAAGAGCCTGAAATTTTGCTGCGGGTTCATGCCATAGAGCTTCTTCTCCAACTCGGACAGCCATTTTATCGCCAAATGGACGTTCTTCAGGAGCACCCAAGATCCGTCTTTCGACGCAGCGGCGATACCTTTGTCCGCAATGCTGAAGCCCTCTTGCGAGCCCATGGCTGCAGAGGTGAGCTTCTTGCCCTGCGTCTGTGCCAGCTGCGTGACTTTGCCGCTGGCGTCGAAGCCTGGCGAGCTCACCATCATGATGGGCGACGACGCTTTGCTGTCCTTCTCGAGAATTCGGGCGAGCTCGAAGGCGGGCAAGTCCAAGAAGCCCTTCCCGAGGACGGTCTCCACCAGCTGAGTGCACACCGTCACAAGCCTGTCCGGGCGGAGGGCCTTCATCAGCAAGGCGCTCTGCAGCATCTGGTTCGACTCGCCGAGGGGACCCCCGCCGTCGCGCCACCCTGCCGGGATGACGGTCTCGGGCTCGAGGTGCTCCAGGCACACCTTCCAGTCGGCCTCGTTGGCCTGCATGTGGCCCACGAGGTCTGCGAAGCTGGGCAGCGCGTGCAGGTCCTGCAGGCCCTTGACCTGCTGGGGGCTCAGCTTGCCCGGCAGCACGCTCCGGCACTGCTCGGCGAGGTTCGCGGCGGCCGTCTTCATCACGTCGACCTGCGCGCCCTTGAGGAGCAGGTCGAGCTCGCCCTGCGCGAGAGGCTCCCCGCTCTCCGCCACCATCTGCGCGAGGCGCAGGCCGTAGACGAGGACATCCTCCTCCCGCAGGCCGGGTGCTATCTTCTGGAACGCGTTGCGGAAGAGGGCCTGAACGATGAGATCCAGGCGCTTGTCGTACTCCTTCACGTCGCCCAGCTCTGGAGTCTTGATGCTCTGATTGAAGAGTTCCAGGAAAAAGGCGAGGCTGTAGCGGTAGAGTGGGTTCATAACGTCCATGCTCTGCAGAAGAAAAAACAGACTGGCGGCACTGTTCCCAGGCGGGTCGTACTGCTGGCACGTCTCTTCGATCTCGCGCATGACCGAGTCGGTCTGCGCTACCTGCACCGCAATCTCGGCGCTCTCTTTCTTAATCTTTTCGAGCGTGGCGATGACCTTCACGTCCTCCAGGATCGAACCCTCCACGTTGGACAGTGCCTGAAGCAAGCCATCCTCGAGCTCCCGGATCTTTACCTTGAACTCCCCCTGAAGCTTTAGCATGTCCGCGCGCTTCTTGTCCACGTCTGGACGCTCAGATTTCAGCAGGGCATTCATGCACTGACTCTGCAGAGAGGATGGCGTGACAGTAAAGTTCACAAACGTGACGCGGCTGCAGAGGTCTGGCGTGAACTGTGCAGTGGAGTCTCGCGTGCACATGTACATCTCGAACGACGGGCTGAAATCGATGTCCTGGTCGCCTAAAGATATCAACACTCGAGGGCCCTGCTTGAATGTCTCCTTGTTAAGAACGTTGTTCAGAATGGGGTCTACTCTGTCCACGTCCATCACCAGCAGGGGGGCCCCGAATCGGAGCGACGTCTCCAAATGCTTCATGAACATCGCGTCCACGAAGGATGTTTTGTTCAACTTCTTGCTCTTGAACTCGTTCTGCAAGAACGTCACCGCCTGCCCCGACGGGTCGATGATCAACGGGTAGCGGAGGAACCGCTTCATGATGATGGCGTTCTCGCAGCACAGGTCGTCATCGGGCAGCGCGTTCTCCTCAGGGCTCGACCTAAACCAAGGGGGTATCGGGCCTGTGTAAGGTCATATGTGATTATTATTGGACTTCGCCCGTGAAGGCCCTGATTCAATTTAAGTCCTGTGTGTAGTTTAAGAAAAAGAGCGGGTTCCGGGTCAAACCCAGGTTCAAATTCGGACCTGGCCCCACAAGGAAATGTGTCGTTTTCGTGTTGACGTCGCTTCCCCCCTTGTGTATCTGTCCACCCAGCCTTTGCTTCAAAAGCGAGATCGACAAGAACACGGTCCACGAAATCGGTAAAAAAACAGTTTCGGTCGAGCCCTGTTCTCCTTCCACTGCAGGCGGTCCGACGGCTTGCACAGGTACTCGATGACCGAGAGGGTCTCCTGCTGCCTGATGTCGGCCTCCTCCAGCAGGTCCCTCCACGAGCGCATGACCTGCTGGCGCATGAAGAGGTCGAAGAAGCCGATGTAGGTGCAGAAGGCCCCCGAGATCAGCACGTCCCCGACCATCGTGGCGAGGAGCCCCTCGAAGCCGGCCGCCGAGCCCTCCCACCGGATCTTCTCGCCGGAGAGGTCCTCCAGGAGCTTCAGGGAGCGCTGGCACTTGTCCTTCACGGACGTCATCTCCGTCTTGATCTCCTGAACCTGCCCGATGAGCACGGCGTAGTCCTCCTTGTACTTCTGGATCTTCTGCTCCATGTCGATCACCTGCTGTTGCTGCTCGTCGAACGCCTTCTTGTTGACTGCCGCCTTGTCCTCCATCGACTTGAGCTCATTCCTCATCGGCTCCATCTGGTGCAGCAGGTGAGCAAACTTCATCTGGCTCTGGACCCAGGTGGCGACTGGCCCGGCACACTTAGACGCGCGGTTGATCGCTGTGATGTCCCACGCCTTCGTGTCCAAGTAGTTCTTCTGGATAAGGTTGCGCGTGGAGTCCTTCAGGGTCTCTGCGTTGTACTCTAAGATGCTCGGTATGAACGATGTGTCCTTGCATATCTTCTTGACGATGTCCCAATTCACCTCCTTCCCGACCTCTGGCCGCACCATCAAAGTAACCGCCTCCATGGCGATCCGCACCCCATCCGGCGGCGTCTTCAGCATTCGCAGCTCGTCCAGCGACTTCTTGTCCACGCCCTTCATCGCCTGCTTCGCGGCCTCCAGGGCGGGCTCGACCTCGTCGATCTCGGCCTGGATCTTGACCTTCTTCTCATTGATCACCGCGGACTGGGCTTCCAGTTCCTTCGACAGCACCTCGCTGGACTTCTTCTTCTCCTGAGGGGGAACGTTCGGTGGGGACTGGCTCAGGGGGGAAAGATCGAGCTTGATCGGCGATACATCGCCCATTGATCGGCTTTTGGCAACCGATTGCGAATATGCAAGTTCCTGGGTGGGGTGGGCCATCGGGCCCCTATCGGCGATCAATAGGCGAGGCGATTGGGGGTCGATGCATCCTCCCCTGAGCCTACCCCCGTCCCTTGTGGTTTCCAGGCCATCATTCAAGTCTCTGGCGGCCGTTCGGGACTATCGTGGCACCCCCAAGCGCTTCTCTGCGAGGCGCGGTTGCCGGAGCGTATCCAGAGGCTGGAAAACCGCCGAGAATCCGCCGACCCCTTGTGGGTCTCTAGGCGTGTGAGATAGTTCCCCCCCCCATAATCCCCCCCCAGGGACCCCAAACCGGAGAATTGACCCCCCCCCCGGGCCCACCACGAGCGCGTCACGGGGCTCTTTTGGGCCCCAAAGGGGATCAAGACGGGCCCAGAAGGCTCCAAGAGGCCTCCAAGACGGCCCACGAGGGCCCCGAGACGCCAAACGAGCGCTCCCAGACGCCCAATATGGCCCCAAGACGAGCCTAGAGGCCTCCAAGACGGCCCAAGAGGTCCCCACGAGGCCCCAAGAGGCCTCCAAGATGCGCCCCAAGAAGGTCCCTAGACGCAAAAATTGGCCCATTCCCTTCGTAAAACGTATGATTTTCGCAAATTCGCTTTCTGGGCTTTCCGACGCTCCAAGACGGCCCAAGAGGCCCCGAAGACCGCCCCAAGACGGCACAAGAAACCTCCAAGAGGGCCCCAAGATAGCCCAAGAGGGCCCCAAGACGGCCCAACAAGCGTCCAAGACGGCCCAACAGGGCCCCGAAAAGGGCCCCAAGAGCGCTCCAGGAGCGCCCCAAGTGGCCTCCAAGAGAGCTCAATATGGTCCCCGACAGCCCAAGAGCGATGAAAGACACCGAAGATGGCCTCCTGACGGCCCAAGATGCCCCCAAGAGGCCCCCAGAGGCATCCAAGATGCGTCCCAAGAGGGCCTCTAGACGCAAAAATTAGCCCGTTCCCTTCGTAAAGCGTGCGTTTTTTCCACAAATTCGCCTTTTGGGCTTTCCGACGCTCCCAGACGGCCCAAGAGGCTCCCAAGACCGCCCCAAGGCGGCCCAAGAAGCCTCCAAGAGGGCCCCAAGACAGCCCAAGAAGGCGCTAATACGGCCCAAGAGGCGCCGAAGACGGCCCAAGAGAGCCCCGAAAACGGCCCCAAGAGCGCTCCAAGTGGCTTCCAAGAGAGCTCAACATGGTCCCACACGGTCCAAGAGCGATCGAAGACACCCGAAATGGCCTCCAGGTGGCCCAACACGCCCCTGAGAGGCCCCCAGGATGCGTCCCAAGACGGTCTCTGGACGCAGAAATGTACTCATTCCCGTCGAAAAACGTACAATGTTCACACACCCGCCTTCTGGGCTTTCCGACGCTCCTAGACGGCCCAAGAGGCACCGAAAACCGCCCCAAGACGGCCCAAGAGGCCCCCAAGACGGCCCCGCGACGGCCCAATATGGCCCCAAGACGGCCCAAGAGGTCCCCAAAACGGCCCAAGAAGGCTACAAGACGGCACCAAGAGGGGCCCAAGAGGGCAACCAACAATTCAAAAATCTAGCTTTCCGCCCCCACGAGCCCCAGGGGGCCCCAAGAGTGCCCCAACAGGCCGCCAACGGCCCTCAAGAAACCGCCAAGACGCCCCAAGGGGCCCACAAGAGGCCCCCAGGAGGCCCCCAAAAGACCCCCAGACGCTTCCGTATTGCGAGCCGTCACGCCAACTGCAATGCACTCCGCGCATACAACCTTGCTCTTCCTCGCGACGTGCTCACTATCTTGCTCGGCGCTAATGTGCTGCTGCCGCGCGAACTGTTTCGTGCGCGCTGCGAACGTCAACAGCCTCTTTACTCGTTTCGATTCATCTGCCACATCTTTCGCTGTGATGCTTCGCTGATCACAGCTTCCACACACTACTCTTGCTCCTTTCGTCTTCCCGTGCTCCTCCACTTGGTTGCGGGTCGAAAGGCCGACCTCCCAGAAGGACACCCCGCACCCGGGTGCACAGCACGCAAAACGCTCGCAAAACACGCCCCAGACCACCGGCATCACGCAAACATTTGGACCCCCTACGTATCTGCCACCACCCGCGCGCGACACCGCACCCTCACACAAGACGCCGCTGGCCAGAAACTCCTGGCCTCGCAACACTCACAGAAGGGATCGGCGGATGTGGCGTAAGCCTGCAGAGTCGACGACAACGCCCGAAGACCTCGAACATCGGCAAGCCTCGACACTTGGTCACAGGCTCACGAATTCCCTCACGTTGCCCCACAACGGCTGAAGAGGAGGGGGAGGAGGAGGAGTCGGAGGAGGAGATCGAACTTAGAGCTCCCTCTGAGCGTGGCCCCTGATCTCCTCGGCCTCGCCCTGGCCCTGCACCATCTGGGACATCATCTCCTCCGCCTTCTTGTTCTGCTCGGCCAATTCCTTCTCCTTCACCGCCAGCCCCTGCTGCAGCTCCGCCACCTGCTTCTCCGTCTCCTTCAGCTTCCTGAGGCCTCCGTCGATGTGCTCGTGCTGCTCCTTGACCTCCTCGCGCTTCTCCTTCAGGATGAGCAGAAAATGGTTTATGAAATCCAGGAAGTCGCGGGGGGTGATGAAGTTGTACTTCTGCGCGGACTTCCTGAGCTGGACATTCACCTCGTCGACCTTCTCGTGGAACTCCACGATGACGTTGGCGAGGGCGTCGTGCTTCACCTTCTCGTCGGCGAAGTTTGCGGGCCTGCCGAACGACTCGCTCGACACCTCCAGCTCTTTGGTGAAGTCATATCCTACTTGAATCAGGGCCTCGTGGGGCCAATCACCGAACCAGTCGATGATGCACCGATTGAAGAGTGCAGGACTGGAGTTCGAGCGATTGTAGAAATCAGGATTCGCGGGGTTCATGGTGAAGACAATGTGCAAGTTTCGCTGGACCTGCTTGGTGAATCGCGCGAACAGCTCAGCGTCGTCCAGCCCCTGCATGCCAGCATGTCTGCACTCTGTCATCAGAGTGCTGAACTCGTCCCCCTCGAACAAGCCTGGCACCTCCCCGGCGGCAAGTAGAGCGTTCATGCGCTCCAGGAACGCGGGCCCCAAGGCGTTCGACTCATCGAAGATGAAGGTGATCTTCTCGCCCTTGACGCCGGATCGCTTCATCACGTGCCTCAAATCCACCTCGAATGCGTATACGTCATAATTACGGCCCACTTTCAGGCAGAAGACGGTGAGGCCGTTCATCCACGACACGAACTTTGAGAGGACCGTTTTCCCAGCTCCAGAAGCGCCGACCAGCAGCAGATGCCCAAGGGGCTGCCGCAGCACTCTGTCCATGCGCACGATGTGGTCCAGGACCTCGTCGAAGATGACGAGGTGCACCGCCAGCTCCTCCTCGTAAAACTGCTGGAGCTTGCCGGCCACGAATGCGCGGAGCTCCTCCTGGTCCGAGTTGGTGTAGTGCTGCGACTCCGACAGATAGCAGCTGAAGAGGATGGGTTTCTGAAGGACGTCGGGGGAGCATTGGAACTCAGACATGGCACTGTTGAACAGCTGCTCCTCGCCCCAATCCTTTTCCTCTTGGTGCACCATGCGGTCCACGAAGATCCGCAGCGCCTCGTGAACGACCAGACGGATCACATTCGTCTCTGTCATTCCCTCCACGGTCCTCATTGTCTCGTACATCGCAGTCTTCCACCTGGTGAGCTCTCGGGGAGAATAAAGGTAGTGGGGCTGCATGTCGGTTGTGAAGTGCTTGGCGTTGTCGCGCCAAAACTGGACCATGACATTCGTTGTCGCGTCGGCTAGCGTCTTAGGAAGGTGCGGCTGCAACTTCATCATCCCGCGGTTGAAAGTCCCATAGATCTGCTTCAAAGAATCGGGGCCAGGGTAGTCCACCCAGATCACGGGAGCGTGCCTCAGGAAGCGATCGGACATTGGGTGACGTCCGGTGTCCGTCGGCGGGTTACATGCTCCCAGGAACTGGACGCGCTCCACCCGGACCCACTGCCTGTCGCTCGGGCGGTAGAAGCCGCCGGCCTCGGTGATCTGGCGGATGAACATGATGACGCGCTGCGTCCCGTACTTGTCCTGCTCTGGGAGGTTGCACTCGTCGCAGAAGACGACGACCCACTTCCCGGCCTGCAGCGGCCGCATCACGAACCCGCTGGGCGTCTTCACCGTCTCGCAGTACAGGTCGAAGGTCTTCAGCAGGAGCTCCGGCGTCGTGCCGGCCGAGAAGTTCAGCGAGGCGAGCTCCAGGGACCCCGCCATGGCCTTCATCGTCGACATCAGCGTCATGGTCTTGCCGCTGCCGGGGGGCCCGCTCAGGATGAACGGGCGCCGCTCCTCGAGCCTGAAAGGGGCCCCTGGACACACATATATAGGTGCACACAAATAACAGGACTCCCCCCCACTTCCCATACTTTCCCATATTTCCCAACCATCCTGTGGTGTTGGGTCCTCGTTTTGAAGAGACAGCGCACGCTCCCGCTCCCGCTCCCGCTCCTCCTCCCCCTCCTCCCTCCTCCTTCTCCTCCCACCATCATCATCGTCATCATCCTCCATTTCGGCACACCCCTCACACGCTTCGTGGCCCCATAGGGAGCTCCACCGAAGGCCCCAGTGCTGCCGCCCGCATGCGTCCCGCACACCCACTTCGGCACACCCCTCACACGTTTCGTGGCCCCACAGGGAGCTCCACCGAAGGCCCCAGTGCTGCCGCCCGCATGCGTCCCGCACACCCATTTCGGCACACCCCTCACACGTTTCGTGGCCCCATGGGAGCTCCACCGAAGGCCCCAGTGCTGCCGCCCGCATGCGTCCCGCACACCCAATTCGGCACACCCCTCACACGTTTCGTGGCCCCATAGGGAGCTCCACCGAAGGTCCCAGTGCTGCCGCCCGCATGCGTCCCGCACACCACTTCGGCACACCCCTCACACGCTTCGTGGCCCCATAGGGAGGTTTCGTGGCCCCATAGGGAGCTCCACCGAAGGCCCCAGTGCTGCCGCCCGCATGCGTCCCGCACACCAATTCGGCACACCCCTCACACGTTTCGTGGCCCCATAGGGAGCTCCACCGAAGGCCCCAGTGCTGCCGCCCGCATGCGTCCCGCACACCCAATTCGGCACACCCCTCACACGTTTCGTGGCCCCATAGGGAGCTCCACCGAAGGCCCCAGTGCTGCCGCCCGCATGCGTCCCGCACACCCACTTCGGCACACCCCTCACACGTTTCGTGGCCCCATAGGGAGCTCCACCGAAGGCCCCAGTGGCGGCGCTCACATGCGCATGCGTCCCGCACACCCACTTCGGCACACCCCTCACACGATTCGTGGCCCCATAGGGAGCTCCACCGGAGGCCCCAGTGGCGGCGCTCACATGCGTCACCCACACCCACCCAATTCGGCACACCCCTCACACGTTTCGTGGCCTCATAGGAAGCTCCACCGAAGGCCCCAGTGGCCCCGCTCACACGCGTCCCCGCCACCCATCCCGGCACGCCCCTCACAGGTTTCGTGGCCCCATAGGGAGCTCCACCGAAGGCCCCTGTGGCACCGCCCGCATGCGTCACCCGCACCCACTTCGGCACACCCCTCACACGTTTCGTGGCCCCATAGGGAGCTGCACCGAAGGCCCCAGCGGCGGCGCTCACATGCGTCCCCGCCACACATCCCCGTACACCCCTCACACGCTTCGTGGCCCCATAGGGAGCTCCACCGAAGGCCCCAGTAGCGGCACGTACATGCGTTTCCGCCACCCATCCCGGCCCCCCCCCGCGTGTTTCGTGGCCCCATAGGGAGCTCCACTGGAGGCCCCAGTGGCGGCCCTCACATGCGTTTCCGCCACCCATGTCGGCACGCCCCGCACGTGTTTCATGGCCCCATAGGGAGCTTCACCGAAAGCCCCAGTGGCACACATCTCGGCACACCCCTCACACGTTCCGTGGTCCTATGGGGAGCTCCACTGAAGATGAAACCCACAGCTGCGGTACTGACAACTGCATATGGTTGGGTTCTTCGCCAGGCTAATTTTGGGGGAGTCGACGATTAATTGTGTCTGTGTGCTTTTTTCCCCTTCTGAGAGCCAGGCCGCCAGGGTGGCCGTGTGGCGAACCGTGTCGACGGTCGAGATGATCAGGCTGGAGTCCCCGACCTTGTCTGGTTCGATGTCCAGCACTGGCACTCGCTCCTTCCAGTGGTACCACTCGCCGTCCTCGATGCGCACCTCGAAATCCAAGAGGGTGGTGTCGCCGCCGATGCCGCTGGGAACATCGACGTCGCCCATGAACTCGCAGAGCTGGTTGCAGTAGTCCATGCGCAGGTTCAGGTGCATGTCCCCACCCAACGACCAGCAAGTAGAGAACACCACATATTTCTTGATGAACTTGGTTGCGATGTCCTCCGCTAGCGGGAAGTCCTCATGCTGCTCGTTGTACTCGAGGATCATGTTGATGCCCTTTCTGACGAGCGAGAACAGGCTCGTGAGGGCGCGGATGTCCGTGAACACCATGATGTGCTCGCACCTGCGCGAGAGCTCCAGCGCCCGAAGCACGAACCCCCCGTCCTTGAACATGTCCGTCACGACATCCACACACAGAGCCTTCGTGGCCTGCTCCCGGTTGGGCTCGTCAAACTCGCCCTTCCCTTCTCCTCCCTTGTCCTGGCCACCTTTTGCCTCAAGGTTGCCGTACTTGATCGCCTTCAACTCCTGCATCGACATCATCTCGGGGGAGACCACGTCTTCTGCGAACCACACCATTCCGCAACGGCTGACCGTCGCCAAAGTGGCGTACTTTAGTGTGTCGACCTCAAACATGATCCTGACATTCTCGGGAATTGCCAGGCGCTCACCGTTGGGCAGAGTAAGAAGCTTGTTGTCGTCAAGGACAGAATTCAGATTCTCTGCCCACTCGGGATCCACGTCGCCATCGAACATGATCCACTGCCGCCGATCCTTCTCGCCCCTATGGCCTGCGGTAACGCGCCTAAGGATGTCTGTGAAAACTCCGTCTGTCCACTCCAGCGTCGTGGCGTCCAGTCTGCCGTAGAGCTCCTCTTTGGAGATCGCCTTGGGGTCAACCACGTAGGCATCGCCCTTGACATTGTCGACCTTCTCCATCGCATCCAGCAGGGTGCGCCAGACTGTCGTCTTGCCCGTGCCGACCGACCCCACCAGCATCACGCCGTGGGTTATCCTCTGGATCTGGTAGAGCTCCATACACTTCAGCATGAAGTTCGGCGTGCAGTCGAAGTGGCGGAGGTCGCACAGGCGCCTGATCTCGTTCTGAAGGACCTCGTCTTCGACGGGGCTCACGTCGGATCCGGGGAAGACGCCAGTGATCAGGCTCGACATCAGCGGCTTGTCCTGGGCCACCAGCTTGGGGACCAGGGTGTCGAATATGGCCCGGAGCAGGATGCCCTGCTCGTCGTTGGCCATCTCCTCGTCCTGAGGAGACAAACACGGAGATAAACGTAAACTCGGAGGTCCGCGCGGATTCCTCGGATCGGCGCTGGGGCTCCCTGGCGGCGCCTCCGGCGCCGCCCCCGGCGCTCTCCGCGCGCCCGGGAGGGCCGGGCTCCAGCGCCGATCCGAAATATCCGCGCGGACCTCCGATTCCTTATGTTCATGTCATTGTTTGTTCCGCCACGTCCGACATGGAGTCGAGCTTGGCCTTCCCGAGCTTCGCGACCGAATCTCGCTTCATGTTGCCGGCGCAGGCGAGCACTGCCTTGAGGGAGCGCAGCCCGAAGTCGTAGTGCGGCTGCGACGACAGCTGGTCCTTGCAGAGGTCGAACAGGAACACGACCTTGCCGGCCAGCCGCTCGGCGCTCTTGAAGCCCTGGTTGTAGAGGTTCACCTGCGCGATGAGCGCCTTGTCTGGGGTGGTCATGGCCATAGCCCGGAAGAGCTGCTTCAGGTTGTCGGGGAGGTTTGAGCGCCCTGCGTACCCGGGGTTCATCGTCACGAAGATGCCCACGTTCGAGTTCAGCCGCACCTGCTTCCCAAGGATCTCGATTTCCGTTTTGTTCTGCTTGTTACCCGTCTGGATGGTGAGCACCTGCTCCGAAACCGCCGAAAGGATGCGCTCTTCGAGGCGATTGAACTCGTCGAAACATCCCCAGGCGCCGACCTGGCAAAGCCCAACGAAAATGCGCCCCATGGCCTGGAAGTCAAAGCCCTCGTCACAACAGAAGACGAGCACAAACCTGCCCATAGTGTTACCAAGCGCCTTGACCGACTCCGTCTTACCCGTGCCTGCTGGTCCAAAAGGATTGGCACCCAAACGCATGTGCAACGCCTGCGTCAGTGTGAGGAAGCACCTGTCGGTCAGCGGCGTCTGCACCAACTTGTCTGCAATTCCAAGACCCGCCACCGTGCCCCCCTGGCACGCTAACGCGTTGCCGAGTGCCAGGTACTATCTAGTAGGGCCATCAGCATCATCATCCGCCTCCTCCTCCTCCTCGTCCTCCTCCTCCTCCTCCTCTTCCTCCTCCTCCTCCTTCTGTTCCTCCTCCTCCTCCTCCTCCTCCTCCTCCTCCTCCTCCTCGTGCCCACCTGCATTGTGTCCCCCCGCCCCCCCCCTGTCCCGAGGCTCCCCGGGCGCCCCGACGCCTCCCTGGGCGCTCTCCGAGGCCTTCCTTCCAAGACGGCCCCGCCGGGCCGCCAAAGGCCGCCAAGGCGGCCCCGTCCAAAGCAGCCGAGGATTGCCCGACGACGGCCCAAGAGGCCCCCGCGTGCGGCCCAAGAGGGCCCCAAGAGGACCCAGGAGGGCCCGAAGAAGTCCAAGCCACGAGCTCCCCGAAACTTCTGGGCGAGGTTCGTGCTCTCCCCTTTTGGAGGATCGCCCGACGACGGCCCAAGAGGCCCCCCCGTGCGGCCCAAGAGGGCCCCAAGAGGACCTCCAGGAGGGCCCGAAGAAGTCCAAGCCACGAGCTCCCCGAAACTTTTGGGCGATGTTCGTGCTTTCGCCTTTTGGGGGGCTTCCGTCATCCCCAGGAGGCCCCCAAAATGGCACCAGCACGGCCCGAACGGAAGAAGAAACAACTGCATAAGCACAAACTTTTGGCGCTCCGCGCGGATTCCTTGGATCCGCCCTGACGCCCCCACCCCCCTCTGGCGCGCGGAGCGTGTCAGGGGCGGCGCCAGAGGCGCCGCCCGGGGGGCCCCAGCTCGGATCCAAGAAATCCGCGCGGAGCCCCAAAAGTTTACGTTTATGGCATTTGTTCTTCGACCAAAGTGCCCTAAGATGGCCCAGAGGTCGCCAAGACGGCTCCAAGAAAACCCCAAGGTGGCCCAAGAGACCCCCAAGACAAGGACCCCAAGGCGGCCCAGAGAGCCACCCAATACGCAGCCCGAAGGCCCCAGACTGCCCAAGAGCGCCCCGGGGCGGCCCAAGATGCATCCAAGAGGCTCCCAAGAGACCCCAAGAGGCCCCAAGGCGGCCCAAGAGACCCCCAAGACAAGGACCCCAAGGCGGCCCAAAAAGGCCCCCAAGACGGACTGCGAGAGCGCCGGACTGCCCAAGAGCGCCCTGGAACGGCCCAAGGAGCCCTCAAGAGGCCCAGAGAGGCCCCCGAGACGCCCTCGAGAGGCCTCCAAGAGGCTCCCAAGCCCTCTGGCAGCAACAAAAGAGGAGGAGGGGAAAATAGCAAGGCGGACGACGACGACGGGCACGAGGAGAGACACGCGGACACCCATCAGGGTGTCACCGATGAGTGGCGGCAGAACGGCCGCCGCGAGCTTCTGCCGAGTCGCCTGTCTGGGCCTCCGTGGTGGGGTGGGAGCAGATTCGGAGGCAACGACAGGGGCGAATGGCCCAGGGGGGAGCACTATACGTATCCAGGGGCGCCGATGGTCCATGTATTCGGCGTATCCTTCTGGGGTGTCGAAGGTCCTTCACCCCGACGCGACGTAGAAGAGGGTGTCTCACTTTGCGGCTCTCTCCAGGCTGAGGACGAGAGGTGTCGCATGTCACGGTGTCTGGGCGTTGCTCTGGCTCTCTGGCAGCCCCGAGACGAGGGGTGTCACATGTTATGGACCTCCTCCTCCACGCTTGGCGACTCTATGGAAGCCCATGGACCCGAGGTGTCACACAGTACGTCCTCCTCCGCCCTCTTCCGATTTCCCGGGCCTGCCGAGGAGGGGATCCACGCCTGCCAGGCTCCCCGGGTGCGCAAGACGAGAAGCGTGGCATGTGACGCCCGTTGGGCGGTCTTCGAGAGGAACGCTTCCCGACTCTCCAGGAGCTGCAGAACTAGAGGCGTCACATGTTACGCTGCTCCTGCTTCACATCCTACACCCCCCCCCACACACCCTTGTGCATCCTACTCCAATCCTCGTCATCATATTCTTCCTCCTCGTTGTCGTCCTCCTCGTTCTCCTCATCCTCGTCCCCCTACACACTTATGTACGTTGTGCCGGATAGAAGAGAGCCGGATCCAGAGAGAAACCCTGCGGAACAGCGTGCCTAACGTGACGACCCCCGAAAGTCAATGGGACGAGACGTGTTGCAAAGTCTGGGCTTTGGCATGTGCTCATCGGATCGGATTTCGCGGATCTCTGGAGGCCTAGGAGCCAGATTCGCTGCATGCCTAAATTGGGCTTCTGCCCTGGAGGGTCGAGGGGCCAGGGTTTTGAAAGTCTTTGGCCCTCGTTGGGCCTCTGGAGGCCTCCGGAGGCCTCCAGGGACCTCTGAGGACATGCATGGACCTCCACGGGTCAGGATCTGGGTCGGCAGCAAAACCTCCCAAGTGCAACATGTTACGCCCTTCCTCCTCCTCCTCCTCCTCCTCCTCCTCCTCCTCCTCCACGTTATCGCCCCAATCCTGCGCCCCAAGCTGGTCCCAGCGGGCCCCATGCATTCCCAGATGAGCATTCACACGTCACAGCTCTCGACATGCTCGAGAAAAAGGATGCCACGTGCCACAGCGTCCAGGCGTTGCTTGAAGAGTTCGCAGATGACGGCTCTCTGATAGCCACTTAGAGACGAGAAGACCACGCGTGAAGGGTTTCCTCCTCCTCCTCTTCCTTCTACTTATTCCTCCTCCACTCTCTCTCCCCGTCCTCCCCCGCCTTCGCATTAAGCCCCACGAGAGCAGAAGTCGAGACGGGAGAAGTCACATATGACGGCCTTCAGGACGGTTACCGAAGCGTCACTGCACAGAGTGCCTCGCTGGCACGATGACGAATTTGCCGCAGGCAGCTGGATACTCAAAACCGTAGTAGAATGTTGCGTCCGCCATGCAAATCGTGAGCTTCTTCAGCATATCATCCTCTTTAGGATTGAAGTACATGCGCATGAGCTGTAGCCACTGGAAATTACGAGCAGACGACACGCTGTCCTTGACGAGCTGACGCGACACGTCCCTCTGGTGAACGACCTCTGTGATCATCTGGGCCAGCTTCTGCCGCACATCCTTCGTAACATTTGTGATGACTTTCTCCGCCATGAAGGTTAGCTGGGCAACGCATCGCGGCACGACACTCTCGAGCTCAGAGCAGCCTCCAGAATTCAGGGCAGCCTCCACCTTCTGGCACCAATCGGCCAGAATGGCCATCAGCAGCACCTGGCATGGGTACTGGGCAACCCACTTCATCATAGGCGCCTCCACAACCTGACCCTCCTTATCGAAGACCTGCTCGAGCTCCACCATGGAGTTGTTCAGGTGCTCCCCCAGTGACGCCTGCATGTTGGTCTCGACCTTCGACAACCACTTGTTGATAGGAGGGTCCTCACTTATCTTGATGGGCCTCACGAAATCAACAACCTCGCCCTCGCGGGATGCCATAGACTTCAAGACATCCGCGTCGTCGGCCTCGGTATTGATCTGGGAGAGCCCCGCGAACATCTTAGCAAGGTGGCGGCTCACGGCGCCGACATCGCGCGAGTTGCCGATCATCTCAAGCAGGTCCTCGTCGCCCACGAAGTAGAAACGAGCGAACTGCGAGCGCTGCTTCTCGAGGTAGTCGCCGAGGGCTTTCTGTACGGCCGTGAGCATGTCAGAGAGACGCTCCAGCTGTTTCTGGACTCCCTCGATTCCCGCCACGTCGAGAACCTTGGGCTTGGCAGCCACCTTCTTCATCAGACCGGTGAACTCAGTGTCGATAGTTTTGAAGCGGCCGAACTCGTTGGGGAGCAGCTGTTGGATGTCGGCGCTGCTACAGAAGATTCCCTCGAGGAGACAGAAGAGGAGGAGAAGTGACGCTGAGCAGCAAGAGGGGCGGACTAGGAAGGCGTTCCAAGTGGAGGAAAGCAGCAATGCCACATGACAAATTAGGATGAGGAACAAAAGGAGCAGGAGGAGGATCCTCGAGGTATATCCACCGGCGCTGGACGTCCATCCAGAGGTCGAACACGATGCGGATGTTGTTCAGACGGGTGTCCCACAGCGCCCCCTCCTCCTCGAAGGACTTGAAGAAGGGCGACATCTTCATGGACTGGACGCTCTGCAGGTGCTCGTCCAGCTGCGCGAAGAGGTCGTCCCAGCCTTTGATGAGGCGGCACTTGGACTTGAACGGGACCAGCTCCAGGCTGTAGTTGGTCCAGCACTCGCGCACCTCCCGCAGGAACTCCTCGAGCCCCATCTCGCCCTGCGCGCGTGCCAGCACCTCTGAAGGGGCCCAAGGATATTTCAAATAAATACACACAAATAACCAGAATCCCAATAGTTTCCCATATGTTCTGCGTTTTTGTCTTCCCCCCACTTCCCATATTTTCCCATATTTTCCTGGGAGTCGACGATTACTTGTGTCTGTGTGCTTTTTCCCCTCCTGAACCTCCTTCATCGCCTGCTGGTGCTTGTCCAGGTTGGCGTCCCACATGTGGCCCAGGGTCATCTCGTTGAGGCCCACGGAGATCTTCAGGGTCTGCATGATGACCTCAGGGCTGAACCTAAACGGTGCTTTTCGAATTCGGTTTGTTCTCGTTGTCCCTCGCTTTTGCCTCGAATCCGCCTTTACCGCAAAACGACATCGAAACGAAAACGGCCCACGAAATCACCAAAAACACCGTTTAGGTCTAGCCCTGGGTTACCTTCCAGTGCCTGTCCTTGAGCGAGTCCGTCTTCAGGTCCGAGATCAGCATGTTCAGCTTGATCTGGCCCTGCAGCTCAGCCTGCACGATTCCCAACCATTTAATGTGTTGAGATGGGCCCTCGTTTTCAACCAGCAGCGCCGAGCCGCCTCCCTCCTTCCCTCCTTCCTCGCCCTCCTCCTCATCCTCATCCTCCTCATCTTCCTCCTCCTCCTCCTCCTCATCCTCCTCCTCCTCATCCCATTCCTTGCCTTTGCTCTCCGCATGTGTCTGTTCCTGTACAGCCGTCACACGCTTCGCGGCCCCATACTAAGGAGCTCCACCTAAGACCCCAATGGTTGCGCCCGCATGCCGCCACAACCCCAGTTTGGCTCAGCCCACAGACGCTTCGTGGCACCATAGGGAGCTACGCCTAAGGCCCCAGTGGTTGCGCCCGCAAGCCGCCACCGCCCCACTTTGGCGGACCCCTCACACGCTTCGTGGCCCCGTAGGGAGCTCCACCTAAGGCCCCAATGGTTGCGCCCGTATGCCGCCACGGCCACACTTTGGCACAGCCCTCACACGCTTCGTGGCTCCATTGAGAGCTCCACCTAATGCCCCAGTGGTTGCGCCCGCATGCCGCCACCGTCTACGTTGGCGCACCCCTCACACGTGGCCCCATAGGGAGCCCCACCCAAGGCCCCAGCGGTTGCACCCGCGTGCTGCCACCGCCCCACTTTGGCACAGCTCTCACACGCTTCGTGGCCCATAGGGAGCTCCACCTAAGGCCCCAGTAGTTGCGCCCACAAGCCGCAACCACTCCACTTTGGCACATCCATCGGAGGCTCCGCCTAAGGCCCCAGTGCGCCCGTATGCCGCCACCACCCCGCGTTGGCGCACCCCTCACACGTTCGTGGCCCCCTGGAGAGCTCCACCTAAGGCCCCAGTGGTTGCGCCCGCATGCCGCCACCGCCACACCTTTCCGCAGCCCTCACACGCTTCGTGGCATCATCGGGAGCTCCACCTAAGACCCCAATGGTTGCGCCCGCATACCGCCACCGCCCCACTTTGGCGGACCCCTCACACGCTTCGTGGCCCCATAGGGAGCTCCACCTGAGGCCCCAGTGGTTGCGCCCGAATGCCGCCACCGCCCCACTTTGGCACACTCCTCTCACGTGCCGTGGCCCTGTAGGGAGCTCCACCTAAGGCCCCAGCGGTTGCGCCCGCATGCCCTCCCCCCCCATAGTTTGGCACACCCCTCACACGCTTCGTGGCGCCACGGGCAGCTCCACAGAAGTCCCCAGTGGCTGTGCCCGAATGTCCTCTCCATAAGATTCGGCATGCACCTCACACTTGTCGTGGCCCCATAGGGAGCTCCATCCAGGCCCCAGTGGCTGCGTTCGCATGTCTTCTTCAAGCCACTCCTGCGCACCCCTCACGCGCTTCGTGGCCCCGGGAACTCCACTTAAGGCCCAAGTGGTAGGAGTCGCATGCGTGACCGCGCCCATGTCGGCACACCCCTCACACGTGGCCCCACAGGGAGCGCACGCCACCTAAGGCCCCAATGTCAGGAAGCTCCGCCGAAGGCCCCTCGCGGGAATTGCATGCGTGACCGCTCCCATCAGCCCCCTGCGGAGCTCCACCGAATGCCCCATCGGCAGGAATCGCATGTGTGACCGAGTCTATTTTGGCACACCCCTCGCACGTTTCGTGGCCACCACAAACCCCGTCGCATGCTGCTCCCCAAACAGCGCCCTGCTGCTCCCCCAGGCCGGGTCGACAGACGCTCAGATCAGCCGTGACGGGCTACATCCAGATGTACCCGTTGCGGCTGACCCCTGCGACCCCAGCAACGTCGCTCCGTCCTTCTCATGCGTGCCTTAGTCATTTTGCTAGCCCCCCTCCATTAGTTTCCACCTGTCTTGTGATACTCGCAGCTGCATCTGGTTGGGTCCTTCGCCAGGCGGCTAGCGCTATGTGCTTATTGCTTCCTTGTTGCATGTTATTGTATGCGTTCACTGCATCTGTTATGTTCCCCAATCAATGCTTGCACTGAAGGGGTCCTAGCGGAAAACGAAAGATTTGGCGAACACTTCCCGCCGATTTTGGTAGCCAGCTGGGTTCCCGGGTTCCCGGTTCCGGCTTCCCGGGTTCCTGGTTATGGGTTCCGGGCCGATTTCGGTGGGTTCCAGGTTCCCGGGGTCCCGGTCGATCTCCTTATCGATCTCTTTATCGATCCCACGATTCATCAAACCATCCCCTGATTTGGGCTTTTCTCTGGTGTAATTCTTCGGTTACTGTTTTTTGCAGCTCGGCCTGTATATGGTCGAAGGCTTCGTACTGGCGCAGCTTCGACGGCATGTTCTTCAGCGAGGTCAGGAACTCGTCGAGCTGCGCGCGGATCTTCTTGGGCTGCACCGCCTGCCACGGCGTGTCACGCAGGTTCTCCACCTTGGCGTACACGGTGTTGATCTCGGACCAGACGTTCCGCAGGTTCGCCATCTCCTCCAGCAGCGGGGCCAGCGCGTCCGAGTTCCCCACCTCCATCTGCAAACTCTGCTTCACGGCCACGATCTGCTCGAACTCGACCTTCACCTTCGAGATCCGGTCCTCGAACATCTTGATCACTTCCATGGCGTGACTGGGCTTGATGGTGCCCTGGACTGGCTTCTGCGCGGCCCACTCTGCATAGAGCATGGTCATCTCCTCGTCGATCGTCTTCTCCTTCTGCAGCAGAACCGTCTTCAGCTTCGGCAGCTCCTTGTCGAGGACCCTGTCCCTGCGGTCCAGGATCTGGTTGAATGCTTGCCACTCCCCCTCGATTTGCTCGATCGGCATCCAGTCGTCAGGGAACTGATACCGCTGCCGGTCCAGCAACTTCTGCGCCTTCTGCATACCCTCGAGAGTATTTCTCCACTCTGGAACTTTCCCCTTGACCCGCAGCACCGCCATGCACGTGTTGGTGAGGTCGCTACCAGCGTCCGCCTTCTCCAGCTGAGTGCGCCCTTCGTTCACCATGCGGTAGAACTTGCTCATGCTCTCGCGAACCCTCTCGCCGAACTCAGAGAGTATGTCGAGTTGGAATTGGTCGTACTTGCCCTTCACCTTCGACTGCACCTTTGCGTTGTCCACGGAGATCGGTCCGAACGAGATCACCGAGTCCCCGGTGTCGAATCGTGAGCTGAAGAACTTGATCTCCTGCAGCAGCGTGGTCCACTTTTCCAGGTCGTCGCCGAGTCGAGTGAGCACATGCGAGATGGAGATCTCCCACAGGGCCTGATACTGCAGCCAAGAGTTCACATAATCTTCCATTTGCTGGATCGTGGTAGCGATGGAGTCGTAAGCGTTTTGAAGGGTGCCCTCGTCAATCAATCCGAATAAGCCCTTGAACGTCGTGGCTTGGGAGTTGGAGCGGCGCTGGAATGCGTCAAATCTGGCAGCCTGGAGAAGTGGCAGATTACACACCATCCCAAGACAGTCGTGGAATTGTCGCGTCCACATGCCCGTCGCGAACTCCTTCTGCGGCTCCAGAGAAAGCACGTGGCTCTGGATGCGTATCTCGTGGATAGAGAGCGCCTGGAGCTCCTCTGGGATGAGCACGTTGTTCGGCTCGGGTGACTTGAACTGCTTCAACCATTCCTCGATCAGCTTGTGCATGAGCCGGAGCAGCCTCTGTTCGATTGCCTTGTTCAGGCCTTCGACCCAGTTGTTCATATTCGAAAAGCTCTGGAGGTTCATGTCGTCGATGAGCTTCTGCATCTCCTCGAATTTCTTCCGCAGCTGCTCGGGCGCTTCGATATTGTTGCAGACGTCGATGTCGTCTAGGCTCTGCACGAGGCGGTCCATCTGGTTCGCCATGGACTCGAGCTCCATGAACTTCTGCTGGAACTTGAACACATCCTCCGACAGCTTCCGGGTATGAGAATCGATCTTCTCAGAGTCCCATTTCAGCTTCAGCATGTCCTCGATGAGCTGCTGCACATTCTGCTGCGCCGAGGCCATCATCGGTGCCGTCGTACCAGAGATCTGCGCGCAGGTCTGCATGTAAGTCCTCGTCGCCTCCTGCAGGGTCATGGCGATCGGGTAATTCTGCTTCGCCTCGTCCGAGGTGACCTTCACTGCGTAGGGCACCCGGTGGTGCAGAGCCTGGAGGTTTCTGACCTCCTTGAAAAGAGTGATGATCTGCTCGTCGTAGTTGACCAACAACACGAAGTTCTGGTAGCTCTGCTGGACGTCGAAGATGCGCATTCCGATGTCGAAGCTCTTCGAGTCCTTCGTGTCCTTCAGCCACTGATCAAATATCCGCCACCGTGCCTTCACGATGCGGGCGTGTTAGGATGCCAGGTGCTGCTCTGTAAAGTTTTGCATTGTGATGAAGCCCCCCCCCTCTATTAGCAGACTGTTGCATGCATCCCCCCTACTCCTGAGGTCACGATCCCTCGTAAACTTAGCCTGGCGAAGGGCCCAACCAAATGCAGCTGCGAGTACCGCAAGACAGGTGGAAACTAAGGGAAGGGCCAACAAAAGGACTGAGGCGCGGGTGAAAAGGACGGAGCGACGTTGAGGATGGGGTCGCAAACTTCAGCCGCAACGGGTTACATTGGTGGAGCTCATGGCCACGAAACGTGCGAAAATGGGCGCGCTGGCGCCATGCGAGCGCAGCCACCGGGGCCCTCGGTGGAGCTTCCTATTGGGCAAGGAAGCGTGTGAGAAGTGTGCCGAAATTGGCACGGTGGTACCATGCGCGTGCAGCCACGGGGGGCCTTCGGTGAAACCAGGCAACGTGCGAGGGGTGTGCGGACATGGGTGCGGTGGTGCCATGCGAGCGCTGACATTTAGGCCCCACGGTGGAGCTCCCTATGGGGCCACGATCCCTGTGAGTGGTGCGCCGAAATAGGCGCGATGGTGCCATGCGAGCGCTGGAATTTGGGTCCTCGGTGGCGCTCCCTATAGCGCCACGAAATGTGTGATGGGTGCGCCGAAATGGGGACGGTGATGCCCTGCGAGCGGAGCCACTGGGGCTCTCGGTGGAGCTCCCCATGGGACCACGATCGTCGTGAGGGGTGTGCCAAAATGGGCGCGGTGGTGCCATGCGGGCGCTGGCATCTGGGCCTTCGGTGAAATTCCCTATGTGGCCACGGTCCTTCTGAGGGGTGTGCCGGAATGGGTGCGGTGATGCAATGCGAGGGTAGCCACTGGGGCCCTCGGTGGAACTCCCTATGGTACGCGTGTGCCAACATGGGTGCGTTGGTGCCATGCGAGCGGAGCCACTGGGGGCCCTAGTAGAACACCCTATGCAGCCACGAAACTTGTGAGGGGTATGCCAACATGGGTACGGTGGTGCTCAGTGGAGTTCTCTATGGGGCCACGATCTTCGTGAGGGGTGTGCCGAATTGGGCGCGGTGGTGCCATGCGAGCGCTGGTATTTGGGCCGTCGGTGGAGCTCCCTGTGGGACCACGGTCCTCGTCAGAAGTGTGACGAAATGGGCGCGGCGCTGTCATGCCCTTGTGAGGGGTATGCCGAAATGGGTGCGGTGATGCCATACGAGGGTAGCCACTGGGGCCCTCGGTGGAACTCCCTGTGGCATGCGTGTGCCAACATGGGTGCGGCGGTGCCATGCGAGCGCAGCCACTGGGGCCCCCAAAGGAGCTCCGTATGGAGCCACGAAACTTGTGAGGGGTATGCCGACATGGGTACGGTGGTGCTCAGTGGAGTTCCCTATGTGGCCACGATCTTCGTGAGGGGTGTGCCGAATTGGGCGCGGTGGTGCCATGCGAGCGCTGGCATTTGGGCCTTCGGTGAAGCTCCCTGTAGGGCCACGGCCCTCGTCAGAAGTGTGACGAAATGGGCGCGGTGGTGCCATGCGAGCGCTGGCATTTGGGCCTTCGGTGGAGCTCCCTGGGGCCACGATCCTGTGAGGGGTGTGCCGAAATGGGTGCGGTGATGCCATGCGAGCGTAGCTTCTTGGGCCCTCGGTGGAACTCCCTATGGCAGGCGTGTGCCAGCATGGGTGCGGTGGTGCCATGCGAGCGCAGCCACTGGGGCCCCTAGTAGAACACCCTACGGAGCCACCAAACTTGTGAAGGGTATGCCGAAATGGGTACGGTGGTGCTCAGTTGAGTTCCCTATGGGGCCACGATCTTCGTGAGGGGTGTGCCGAATTGGGCGCGGTGGTGCCATGCGAGCGCTGAAATTTGGGCCCTCGGTGGAGCTCGTTATGGGGCCACGCAACGTGCGAGGGGTGTGCCGAAATAGGCGCGCTGGCGCCATGCGAGCGCAATCACTGGGGCCCTCGGTGGAGCTCCCATATGGGGCAAAGAAACGTGTGAGGGGGGTGCCAACATGGGGACGGTGTTGCCGTGCGAACGGAGCCACTGGGGCCCTCGGTGGAGCTCCCTTTGGGGCCACGATCTTCATGAGGGTGTGTCGAAATGGGCGCGGTGGTGCCATGCGAGCGCTGGCATGTGGGCCTTCGGTAGAGCTCCCTGTAGGGCCACGGTCGTCGTCAGAAGTGTGACGAAATGCGCGCGGCGGTGTCATACTATTGCTGGCATTTGGGCCCTCGGTGGAGCTCCCTGGGGCCACGATCCTTGTGAGGGGTTTTCCGGACGTTGCGAGGTGGTGCCATGCGAGCGCTGGCATGTGGGCCTTCGGTCGAGCTCCTTTTGGGACCACGAGGCGTGCGATGGGTGTGCCGAAATGAGCACGGTGGTGCCATGCGAGCGCTGGCAGTGGGGCTTACGGTGCAGTTCCCTATAGGGCCACGAAGCGTGTGATCGGCATGCCTAAACAGACATGTGGAGGGCAGAGGCAAGGATGGGAGACAGGATGAGGGGGAGGAGAGGAGAGGAGAGGAGAGGAAGAGGTGCGCTGTCTCGTCAAAACGAGGACCCAACACCACAGGACGGTTGGGAAAAAAACGCAAAAACAATGAAACGTATAAAACCAAGTCATCACTTTTTGGAAAACAGTGTTTGCACTGGTGTCACTGGCTCCCGACCTAAGAACCCCCTGTTGGAGTAAAAGAATAAAGCTTTCTGGGGCTACACCTATACAGGCAAATAAAACATGTGTGACGTTAGAAACAATATTGGGACCAAGTGGTCCCTGCGCCTGCGCAAGGATCAATGGTAATCATGACTGTTTTCCCGGTTGAAAACCAATCCAACTCAAATACTTCAATGTCTTGACAACAATATGATTTGCAAATTAGGTCGGGAACCAATGACACCTGTGGAAACACAATCTTTCAAACATATGATTGGCGTTCTACTGCTTGTGTCTGCTTCTGCGTTTCTGGGGTCTGGACTTGTTTGGGATCTAGATTGTTAAAGTGCCGACACCCCAAAACAAAAAGAACACACATGAGCAGAAACAAGTTAACAACAACCAATGATGAACTTGCGGGGACAGTTTCACTGATTGCCGACCTAAGATGCCACGACTTCTGCTGTAGAGACAGATGGTGTCCTTCGGTTTCTAGCTGCGGCTCCCTAGCGCACGGATCCTGGGACCAGGTAGTCCCTGTGCCTGCACAGGGATCACTGAGGAAGATGTCTGTTTTTGGCTGGCAGCAGATGGAAGACAACCACATGCTTCACTAATAATAATGATGCCATTGTTTTTTAGGTGGGGGAAGTGCGAAACCTGTGAGAACACAGTCGTTCCGCAATGCCATGATTGGTTGCTTTGCTCTGTCTGTGTTATATATACGCATATGTATATATCACTATTTGCATTCCTTTTCCTGAGGTCTGGCTTGGTTGGCTGGGGTCGAAACCTAAGATCGGCTGTACCCAAGCATGCGGCAGAGAAGGGCATAACTACACAGAAATAAAATTATAAACTTAGACGAGACAGTGAAGGAAAGAAAAGGACATGCCAACACATGGAATGAACAACTCGCCGTCGCTCGGACGTCCATTTCCCGTGTTTTTGTCGGTGTCTTGCGTGTTTTTTCTTGCTCGTTGGTCGAGGACGGTCCTCGATGTTTCTCGCCGAGACAACAAATGCACACGTCCAAGCGATGCCAGGACAATGCAACCGTGAAGTAGCTGTTTTTATACAGAAGAAGCAAGACACAAGACAAACGCGTCGCTCTATAGAAACGTATTTTACCTCCACGGGGGGGGGGCCCTCCCCACTTCGACCCCCCCCCCTCCCCTCGTCCACAGGACGCACCCCTTCCGAGCTGCCAGGACGGCGCAGGCAGGCAGCCGAGGCCACAACGAGGGCCCAAGATGCCTCGAAGACGTGCCGGGGCTGCCCCAATGCGGCAGAACAGGGCCTCAAGACGGCCCAAGCTGCCTCCAAGAGGGCCCGGAAGTGCCCCGAGAGGACCTCCAACAGGGCCCGGAGAAGCCAACCTCATTGATTCCCCTTGGGTGTTTGAATGATTTTCGCACCGGGGCGTCCGTCCGCTCAAGACGGCCCAAGAAACCTCCATGATGGCCCACGGCCCAAGAGGCCCCCAGGAGGGTCCATGACTCAAAAAGGACCCGAAGAGAGCCCAAGAGGCATCCAAGACTGCCCGAAAACTGCCCAGAGGGCCTCCCGCGGGGCCCAAGACAGCATTAGATAACCTTGGAAGGCCGTTCGACTGCCCAAGACGGCGCCAAGACGGGCCCACGACGGCCCACAAGCACCCGCCACACGGCTAAGACGGCCCCAGGACGACCCAGAAGAGCCCCAAGACGACCTACGGGGGCTCCAATACGACCCAAGAGGGCCCACCCCCAAGACTGCCTCACAGGAGGCCAATACAGCCACAAGACGGCCCGAACGAGCTCCTTGAGAGTTCCTCACGTATGACAGCCTTTCCGTCCTTCTGCTCCTCCTCCTCCTTTTCCTCCTCATCCTGCTCCTCTTCTTCTTCTTCCTCATCCTCCTCCTCCTCCTCCTCCTCCTCCCCCTCCTCCTCCTTCGCCTCCTGCTCCTCGTCGTCGTCATCGTCGCCGTCGTCATCATCATCATCATCATCATCACCACCACCACCACCACCACCACCACCAACACCACCACCACCACCACCACCACCATCATCATCATCATCATCATCATCATCATCATCATCATCATCATCATCATCATCATCATCATCATCATCATCATCATCCTCATCCTCATCCTCATCCTCATCTCATCCTCATCCTCATCCTCCTCCTCCTCCTCCTCCTCCTCATCATCATCATCATCGTCATCGTCATCCTCATCATCATCACCACCACCACCATTAGCAGCATCATCCCCATGTATCATAATCATCATCAGTAGCATCAGCATCAGCACCAGCATCATCATCAGCAGCATCGTCATCACCACCACCACGACCACCACCATCGTCATCATCGTCATCATCATCAGCATCATCATCGTCACCATCGTAACATCATCATCATCATCAGCAGCATCATCATCACCATCATCACCATGATCACCATCACCATCATCATCATGAGCATCATCATCATCAGCATCATCATCATCATCATCACCAGCACCAGCACCAGCATCAGCATCAGCATCAGTACCATTATCATCATCATCATCATCATCATCATCATCATCATCATCATCATCATCATCATCATCATCATCATTATCACCATCATGATGATCATCATCATCATCATCACCATCATCATCATCATCATCATCATCATCATCATCATCATCATCATCATTTTCATCATCATCATCAACAACACATCATCATCAACATCATCATTACTATCACTCGTCATCATCATCATCATCAGCAGCAGCATCATCATCATCATCATCACCAGCATCAATATTCATCACGATCACGATTTTCCCAAGCCTGAAGACACAATGCGTCACACATGACGGCATCTCGTGCCCCCCTCGAGCTGTCGCCACCCAGCAGTGCTGGGCTGGCACGGCGGCGGGACCTGCCGCAGGCGGCCGGATGGCCGCCGTGCGCATCTTCTTCGCAAACGCGTCCCCCTCCTGCTTCAGCTTCTGGCCGTCCACGTGCGTGTCCCAGCCGCGGCCCAGCACGTCCATTACCCGGTCCATGTACACCTGCAGCCTTCAAGGGGCCCAAGGACGCACAAAGAAATACACACACAAATGAAAGGATTCCCCATATTTCCCATATTTTCTGTGTTTTTGTCTTCCCGCCCAATTCCCACATTTTCCTATATTTTCTTGGGGATCGACGATTCATTGTGTCTCTGTATGTTTCTTCCCCACCTGCAGCCTGCGCTGCAGCTGGTTGGCCCAGATGATGCGTCCGGAGGTGGGCGGTATGTCCCGCAGCGTGGACATCTTCCTGACCTCCCCCTCGTAGCCCTCCTTGAACTTCTCCTGGAGCCTCTGGACGTCCTCCTTGACCTGCGCGATGAGGCTCGTCTGGTACTCCTGGATGGCGCCGCGGATGCGCGGGCGCACGAAGAGCGCGTTGAAGCGGCTGAACACGCGGAACATCTCCGTCGCCGTCTTCGCGGCGCCCAGCCGATCTCGGAGGTGCGCCGTGATCTCGCTCTCGGCGTGGTCGATCTTCTCGTCGTACCTGGGGAGACCCAATGGGCACCGATGGCGATACTCCCCAGACCTCTCCCAGAGTGCGTTCTGACCAGAATGCCGAAGTGGATCTGGCGGTGACAACGAGGGCTTACCGAAAGGCCGACAAAGGCGATAACGAGACAACAGGAGCGGTATTGATATCTTTTCCTCCTCTGGGTGCCTCTTCTTGGCGCTATCCCACTCCTGCACCCCGCGCCGAGTGACGTCAAGGACATCCACGTCCTCCAGCAGGCGGTATGCCGACTGCACCTCCGCCTTCGCACCGCTCTCCTTGCCCTCGGACAGCACCTTCTCGATGACCTCCTGCAGCTTCATGTGCTGCCTGCGGAACTTCTGCAGGTCAACGATGCGCTCTTGGAGGTGGTTGTGCTCGAGGTTGATCTTCAGAGGTGGCCTCTCGTTGGTGCCCCTCTTTCGGAGCAGCTCTCGCACGAGGTCCTTGAACTGCCGCACCTCGTCGTCCCATACCTGAAGAGAGGAAAAGGGCACACACACATACTTTCGGAGCTGCGCGTGGCTTTCTTGGGTCGGCGCTGGACATGGCGGAACACAACACAACATTAAACGTGACCGTCCGAAGGGCCGCGCGGATTTCTTGGGTCGGCCGGGCCATCCTCCCCGGCGCGCGGAGCGCGCCAGGTGCGGGGCCAGCGGCGCCACCGGGGGATCCCAGCGCCGACCCCAGGAGAGAGCCGCGCGGAGCTCCGCAAATGTTATGTTGGCGCCCTCTTCCCTCCCCGAGCGCCCGGAAGAGCTCGGTGGTGGCGACCATGTTCGCCTCGAAGGCCTCCGCGGCCTGCTGCATGAGGCGCTGGGATGCCAGGATCTTCAGGAGCTGCGCCGAGAGGTCGCGGCTCACCGCCTCGACGAGGTTGTACGCGCGCATCAGCGGGTACTGCGTGGCGTTCCTGATTCTCCGCATGTGCTGGAAGATGGTGCGCACGGCCTGCGTCAGCTGCTCGATGCTGTTGGAGACGATGAGCTCGTTGATGGGAAAGTCGCGCAGCAGCTGCAGGAAGTTGGCCACTTTGTCCATCGCGGGCTTCAGGCCAGTGTCCGACTCGAACGACATGGTTGCGAGGAATCGACGTGCCCCCTTGAGCAAGTTCAAGGTCAGCTGAATGGGAGGACCCTGCAGCTGGGTGTGCACGTCATTCAGCACCTTCTCCATGCCCAGCCAGAAGTTGATCTCCTGCATGGTGGTGCCGCTGGTCAGATCCCGCTGGGTCTTGGCCACTCTCTGGATCTCCTTGCTCCATTTGTTCACCCCAGTCTGAAGTTTCGTCAAGAACTGGGCGTCTGACATGCGCCCCTGGAAATCGTCCACCTGCGGAACGGTTCCCTGTGCCTTACCTTTCTCGAACGCCTCGGTGATCTCGGGGTCGATAAGAAGGGACACGTCCTCGATCTCAACATTCTGCTGGCACTGGAGCAGAGCCATGCTAAGGTCGGCGATCTTCCTCTGCACGTTCGGAATTCCGACCTTCATTTCATCTCCAGGGTCGTCAGCAGATCCCCCCTTGCAGAAAGCGTTGAAGAGGGGAGTAAACCCGTTCTGCAGGTAGCAGTTCGTCAGCTCGAAGGGGGAGCTCTCGGTGTCCTCCATGCACCCCATAGTCATCAGCTGCAGCTGCGGAAGGAAGTTGCCTGGGTCTCCGGGGGGCCCTTTGGCGGCGTCGCCGTCCTGCGGAGCCCCCTCGTAGAACGACCTGAACGTTCCGGGGTTCCGCTTGAGGAACGCAATCGTGTTCGCGTTCTTGCCCTTCAAGGAGACCTCAATCTCCACCCGAATGCAATACTCCCGCTCTGTGGTGTTGGCCGCAGGCGCGCCTTCGGCCTTGCTGTCCTCCTTCTCCGCCTCCACGACCTCCCTGGAGACGAACAGGCCGAAGTCCTGCTCGTCCCCGACAAAGTGGCGAATTTTATTGGCCATCTCGAGGTTCGCGAAATGCCTGGAGAACTCATCCTTCGGGCTGCACGCAAGAGTGACCCCAAGCACGAGTGACCTTGCGAGGCCAACCCCCAAGCGCGCCAGCCGCTGCCGCCGCGCCGCGGTCCGCAATCGGGGAGCCCCGGCGGGCCCGCACCATAGAAAGGCCACCCCGGCGAGGCGCCGCTCTTCTCCGCGCACACGCCGAGTCCTTGGAGCCGCCGAGCAGGGCCGGGCAGCAGCCGTTCAGGAACTCGATGAAGGGCCCGGGGTTGATGCGCGAGTACTCGCCCATCTCGCCGGCGGCCCCTAGCCCGGTGCTGCGGCCGCACGTCGGGGGCGGCAAAGAGGGGGGTATCCAGGAGGGGGGGGTGCAAATCATGACCGGCGGCACGTGCGCGGCCCAGCGGGGGGACCAGGGACGTAATGAAATAGGAAGAGGCGCCATGAGATCTGGGGAAATATCATGGCCCCCGCCATGAGATCCCCCCCCCCCCTAGTCATCACCCCCTCTTTGCCGCCCCCGAGCACGGGCGGTGGCCCTCACCGGCGCGAGCGCAGGGGGGGCCCGGGGCGCCTCGGCCGCGGCGTGTGGAGCCAGGGCGGCGCCTTCGGCCTCTGCCCGCTGCCGCGCGCCTCCCCGGCAGAGGGCGCCTCGTGCCGGCGCTCGGACGGCCAATCCTTCCTGTGCTCTGCTCGCTTTGTCGTGCGTGCTTCTCTCTCTCTCTCTCTCTCCAAGGGCTCCCAACTTCGCGCTTCGCGCTGCGCGAAGCGCGAAGTGCGAATAACTTCGCGCTCTCGCGCCGCCTCCCAAGGGAGAAGAGGAGGATGAGGAGGAATCGGAGCCGAACCGCGAAGCGCGAAGCGCGAATAACTTCGCGCCCTCGAGGGCGCCCTTGCTCTCTCTCTCTCTCTCTCTCTCTCTTCCGGTGGTCCAGGAGGCTCAGCGGCGGTTCCGATTTTCTGGCGGCGGCCTCGGCGAGAAAAGTGCACGCATCCGAGCGACGCCAGGGTCAACTATCGGCCAGAGTCCACAACAAAATACTCCCCGGACGCCATCTCGACAGGCTGTGCGAGCCGCGCCAAGCCGCGGCAACAAAGAGGAGAAGGAGGACGAAGAGGAGGGCGAGGAAGATCCCCCCCGAGGGCAAGAAATCCCAAGCAGCCGTGCTGACTGAGGTCCTGTTGTGGTGAGAACGAGCTCCAGCCGCAGGGGCCAGCGCGCAGACGCATACTCAAAAGCGAGCCTGTTTCCCCCGAGTCATCCTCGCAACTCTGGACTCCGAGATGCCCTGGCGTGAGCTGGCGGAACTCCGAAGACCGGCAGCGCTACGAGAGCCTCCCTAGAAGAATTTCGAAGACGGCCCGTCGAACTGCGCGCAGCAAAAACGCCGCGAATTGCGGCTCCCAGCTGCTGTATCACGATTGCCGCAGAGGTGCGAGAGCCACTGGTAGAATTAGATCGGGCATGTCCCCCTACAGGCAGATTTTGGACGAAAAATCAAACACACCCCGCAAATATTCAAACATTGTCAAAACAAAAAACAAAACATCGTCCCCAGACTATGTTTTGGCTCGTTCGCTCGCAAGCCATGTCGCACGACACGTCGGCTCAGCAGGGGAAAAGTGCATGCCGCGCAGGAGAAGCGGCAGTGAGAGATTGCACCTAAGCATCTATCGGGTCAATGGAAAGACAGTGTTGTTTAACAATTGCTTTCCAAACTGCTTGTCCATGCACTGCAAAATGAGGGCTCCTGAATCATGCGCACCACGCCTCGCGAGGAGGGAGAGAGGGGGACGGGGGGGGAGGAGGCGGGAGGGGAACGCCTGTAGAGGGACACGCCCGACTGAATGGTAGAATTGCGATACCCATCAGCTGAGCGGCCAGAGCCGCAGGCAGGGCCACCGGGGCCACGAGCAGAAACATCACAGCGACCAGCAGGCGCAGCAGGACCACCGGCACTCCGCCGAGTGCCGCAGGCTGACCTGCGAGGATCGCGGGCACGCGCCTCGGACATCTTCGCAACTCTGGACTCCGAGATGGCGTACGCGAGGTGGTCTGGACCACTTCGCTCGCAACTCTGGGCTCCGAGATGCCGCACGCGAGGTGATCCGTCGCAATTCTGGATTCCGAGATGTTTCACGCGAGCTGGTCCAATCTGTTTCGCGTGAGACATCCCCAGGAACGTAGTGAACCGATCTCACATGAAGCGCAGCTCGCGCATCCTTCCCTCCGCCTCTTCCTCCCCCTCGCACACGTCCGCCTCCTTCCGGAACGAGGAGGCGGAGGTGGGCGAGTGCCGGAAATCTGAGGGGGAACGGTGGAGGGGAACTGGCCCAGGAGGGGGAACACTGACCAGGGATCCGCGACGGGCTCTCGATAGAGAATTCGCCGGCAGATTCGCGCCGAATTCCGCGACGGGGCGACGTGCCGCCGACAGATCCGCAGCGGGCTCTCGACAGCGAGCCCGCACGCTCCTGGGCGGGGGGCGGGCTGTCGGGCCCGCATCGGCGATCCGCGGGGGAAGCGTCCATCCCCGGGAAGATGCGCGGGAAGACACAGGGGAAGCGAGGGGGAAGACGAACGTCCAGAACATGTTGAAGGCATGGGGATCCTGGGATGTGTGCTCAAGTCTTCGCGTGTCCCTGGGGCCCCTTGAGAGGTGTCCTTGGCCCAGGGCCGCCCTGGGATCGCCGAGGCCCCGAGCGCCCGCAGGGGCCACGTGAGCGCATCCCCCCCTAAGAATTGCCCCTTGGCCTTCGGGTCGTGGCTGGGCTCCCCTGCGGACGCTCGGGGCGGTCTGGGCAACCCCCCGATAACGCCCTCGGCGAGGCGCAGATGCAGGAAGGCATCCCGAGGCTGGAAACCCGTCGGGAATCGCCGAGAGCGGCCAAAAACCTCGAACTCCCACCTCCCCTGAGACTGTCCCCGCCCTCACGCTGCCCCTGACCAGTGCAACAGATGCTCCTCCTCCTCCTCCTCCTCCTCCTCCTCCTCCTCCTCCTCCTCCTCCTCCTCCTCCTCCTCCTGGGCTTCCTCCTCCTCCGCCTCCTCCTCCTCCCTTTCCTCCTCCCTCCTCCTCCCTTCCTCCTCCTCCTCCTCCCTCCTCCTCCCTCCTCCTCCTCCTCCCTCCTCCTCCTCCTCCTCCTCGTATTCCTCCTCCTCCTCCTCCTCCTCCTCCTCCTCCTCCTCCTCCTCCTCCTCCTCCTCTGCGCCCCCGCCACCAGCCTCGGCGCGGGACGGGAGGCCGCGCGCGACGCGCGGCCCGGCGCCTCGGCGCGACCTTGACGTACGCCTGCAGCTTCTTGCCGACCGTGGCGGTGTCGATCTCGATCTTCTCCTGGGCGGCGGCGGCGGCGGCGGCGGCGGGCGCCGACGCCCGCCTCGCCGCGCCCGCCGCGCGCCGCGCGAGGAGAGCCCGGCGGGGCGCCCCGCGTCGGAGGGGGGTGGCGCCGCCGCCCGGCCGGCCCGCGCCGCGCGAGGGGGCCGGGCGAGGCGCCCGAGGGGGCGGTGTGCGCGGACGAGGCGGGGGCGCCTGCGTTGAGCGGCGAGGGCGGGAGGGCGACTGCTGGCGGCCTCGACCGCCCCGGTTCCTGAGGCCAAGGCCCGGCCTCGTCGAGGTCCACGGTGGCCCCGCGCCTCCTCCGCGGACGAGGCGGGGACCGACGACGCGGACCAGGGGGCGTGTCAAAGGAGGAAGGGGGGGCCATGATATCCAGCCCCCATGTAGTCATCGCCCCCCTCCTCAATGCGGGGGCGCGCAAGCGTGGATCAGCGATCCATGGATTCGGCGCGCGGCCGCCAAGTCCATGGATCGGGGGAGGTGCCCTCCCAAAAGTGCGGCCGCTGCCGCCTCGCTCGGCGGCGGCAATCCGCGATGTCCCATGGAGACGGGACCCGTCGCTAATCCACGCCCCCTGAATCCATGTTTGCGATCCACGGCCTACTGAATCCACGCCCCCTGAATCCACGCCCCCACGCGATCCCCTGAATCCGTCGCTAACCCACGCCCCCTGAATCCCTGTCTGTTCACCCGCGAGATGGGACCCGTCGCTAATCCACGGCCCCCCGAATCCATGCTTGCGATCGCCTGGGAGGGGGCGGCGGTGGCTGCGGTCGCTGCGCGCCCCGAGCTCCGACGCAGCGGGGAGCACTGCACTGCAGCACCGCGAGAGAAGCCACGACCAGCGCCCCGGGGGCCCCAGCTGTCTGCGCCACAGCGTTCACGCCAGGTCGAAGACCCAGCAGCGCTGGGCGAAAGCAAACC